AATTTTCTAGTTTGATTTCTTTACCTTTATCAATTACTGCAATATCCCCCGGGGTTTGGAACCTTGTTATCCGACCAGTTTTCTAGTTTCCAGGAAAACTATTTCCGGTTCCCCGGGGGCACTTCCGGTAACACAGGGAGATAGAGATGGAGTAAATATGATTATATCTAGGTTTTAGATGGCGATTAAAAGTGTAAAACAGTTGTTCTATTTTTTAATATAAAATTTTCGCATTTTACAAGTAATAGACTTTATTTCGTTACAATTTTTTTATTTGCTATCAAAAGTTAATATTTTTATCAAACTTCAGGGTGTTATCAGATTTGACTAATTGTATTTTTTTACTTTAAAAAATATTTTACCTAAACTCTTAAAATATAAGTATCTACCCAGAGGCGTATTCAAGTGGGGCAATACTCTGTAGGTACATTAAAAAAATCTATAAATAAAATTGATTTATGTTAAAAATTTGAAAGTGAAAATGAATCACCTTAAAGTGAAAAGGGACTATTTAGTCACCTTAAAGTGAAAAGGGACTATTTAGTCACCTTAAAGTGAAAAGGAACTATTTAGTCACCTTAAAGTGAAAAGGAACTATTTAGTCACATTAAAGTGAAAAAGGACTATTTAGTCACCTTAAAGTGAAAAGGGACTATTTAGTCACCTTAAAGTGAAAAGGAACTATTTAGTCACATTAAAGTGAAAAGATGTAATCCTAATATGTTTGCAGTATAGAACAAGCTGTACAACTTACAATACACATTTAGGCGTTAGAAGTTAAATCAGGATAATAAACAAACTAAATCATTCTCTTCTAGTGGAACTGACGTTAAATATCAAAAGTTGATATCTTCGTTAACTCATGAGTTATATAGTGTCCACCCAAAGTTATTCTCTCACGATAAATTTCTAAAGTTATGATCTGACAAGATGGAAAGCTATTAAAAAATCTTCTTAATTTGCTCCCTTCCAAATCTAATATTTTAGGATTTTATCTTCTTACCTTCTTCTATTCTATATCCTGCAATGTGGTAATTGCTTATGGAAAAATCCTTTAACCAATCATTAATCTCTTTATACCTCCCTTATCCCCCCTCTCTCCCCACCCCTGTGCATTATATATTTAAAGGGACTGCTGCCAAAAACCAATCATTAATCTCTTTATATCTCCCTTATCCCCCCCTCCTCTCCCCCACCCCTGTACATTATATATTTAAAGGGACTGCTGTCAAAAACCAAGGGTTTCCTTTGATGAAATATATACTTAAAATGTCATGATCAGCTAATTTTGTCAAATTTATAAATACGAAACGACTTCCCTCCGCTATAAAGAAGGGGAAGGTCAACATTTTTCGAATTTCTGGTATAAATTTGTGACATCTTGGTTTCTCTAATTTGATTTAAAGTACAAATATGAGAACAATTATCTTTTACCACACTAGAAATTTAAAACATTTTTGTTTTCTCAATAGCTTTTTAATAAGATATGTCAATTGTCAATACATGTGTACCGGCAATAAGAATAGAATATATTAGAGTGGAATTTACTAGAAAAAAGTGTAAAACGGCCATTTTGTTGTACTGTTTCCATACTGCAGGTGTACTTCACAAATTTGTGCTATATAATCTTTTGGGCCCTGGAACATCATTTCATAGAAAAGTTTTCTTGAAAATTATTTGATTAATTCTCTGATAGCCTGTCATGCACACGTGGATAGAAATCAATCTAATAATTTTTTTTCATTAAAAACATATTAATATAATTGCAGCCTGCATGTAATCAAAGAGGGAAACCCAATATTTTAGAAATATTCAAGATATCAACATATGGTCCAACTTTTTTTACACCAAAATTGAGGATGGTAATAAACTTAATATTTAAAACTTAATATTTAAAGAAAACTAAATTATGAAATAGGCTGGTTTCATAATTGACCAATGATTATTTCACATATTTCACTTTACAAACGATGATTTTTCGTTATAACTATAAATCAAATGATGTTTTTTATTCACCTAATTCACATTTTATAAAGTTTAAAACAGCTTTAAACAAAAAATTCGAAACTAAAATGGATATTCTAGGGAACATACTGTATTAATGTACTCTACTGCATACAATTTGTGAACATTTACATGATTTGTACACTTTCAATGACAAAATTCATACCGAGGGATTGTCTAAATTCCACTCTAATATATATTCTATTCTCTTTGTGTACCGGAAGTGGTTTGAGATGTTTAGACATTAGAGTAAAATTTTCTTGATTTATGTTTAATTAAATTGAAAATATAAACAAAATGAAATAATTTTTAAATTTCAACAAATAAGAAGAAAGATGTGCCGGGAAGTTAAGCCCAGGTTTTAAAAATGGCATTTACTGGATTCTCTTAAAAAATAGGGTGCACAATCCCTTTTTATAGGATTCCCTTGAGAAACAGTGCACAGTCCCTTTGATTAAAGAAAGAAGCAGTGCAAAGTCCCTTACTTTATAGGATTCTGTTGAGAAACAGTGCACAGTCCCTTATTTACAGGATTCTCTTTAGAAAAAGTGCACAGTCTCTTATAGGATTCTCTTGAAAAACATGGCAAAGTCCCTCTGCTTTTAGGATTCTCAGGAGAAACAGTGCACAGTCCTTTAATTTATAGGATTCTCTTGAGAAAAAGTGCACAGTCCTGTTGTTTATAGGATTCTCTTGAGAAACAGTGCAAAGTCCCTTTGTTTATAGGATTCTCTTGAGAAACAGTGCACAGTCCTTTTGTTTATAGGATTCTCTTGAGATACAGTGCACAGTCCTTTTGTTTATAGGATTCTCTTGAGATACAGTGCAAAGTCCCTTTGTTTATAGGATTCTCTTGAGATACAGTGCACAGTCCCTTTGTTTATAAGATTCTCTTGAGATACAGTGCACAGTCCCTTTGTTTATAGAATTCTCTTGAGATACAGTGCACAGTCCCTTATTTACAGGATTCTCTTGAGATACAGTGCACAGTCCCTTTGTTTATAGGATTCTCTTGAGATACAGTGCACAGTCCCTCATTCACAGGATTCTCTTGAGAAAGAGCGCACAGTCCCTTTGTTTATTGGATTCTCTTGAGAAAGAGCGCACAGCCCCTTTGTTTATAAATAATTGATTTCTTGAGTATTTACAGTATACTATATATCCTGGTCTAAGTCAGAGCTGATCCCTACACTCCTGCATATATTAATCACAAAAACCCAATATTTTCTTTTTTTCCATTTATTTCCAAACTGAGGAAGGATGTCTTACACGTTCACGTAATTCTTGTTTTTAAATGTATAGCACAGCAATTAACACATTGAAAATTATTCACCAGCTAATGACCGGGTCGACTTTCAAGTTTTGCTAGGATTTTGTTTGAGATTTAACAACCCATGGGTTCAAAAGAAGCGCACTAGCTACTAGCTAGTTTTTATCATAAACTAGCTAGTAGCTAGTTTTTATCATAAAAAAAACATTCTTTATTCGTAAACAATTGATTACAGAACTGCAATGCAAGGGGAGGTTAAAAAGTTATAAAGTTAATCAAAATATTAAAGAACTTATCATTATCGGAGTTCCATCGGAGACCTCTTCATTCATCGGAGACCTCTTTTCATTAGAGTCACTCTTCATTCCATGGATGTTCAATATTTATTAAAAATTTGAAATTTTAAGATTCCGTTCTGAAAAATTGGATCATGACTTTTGATATATCATGATCATGCAGACCAATTTATATCAAATTGGATCATGACTTTTGATATATCATGATCATGCAGACCAATTTATATCAAATTGGATGATGACTATTGAAATATCATGATCATGCAGACCAATTTATATCAAATTGTTTGTTGAATATTGTCTCATGATAAGGTAAAATTAAAATTTGAACGAAAACCTTTATCCCAATTCTTTTGAAAATCTTCTTTGGTGCAGACATGAATATCTTGTTCAATAAATATTTAAAAAGACATTTTAAAGTTTTGTTTTCATTCAATCTTCTACCAGCATTCAATCCAATATATCACGGGAAATATCAGCTTCTTTATTTCTTTAGTTCTATAATTTTCTTTATTTCTTTTTTCTTTCTTTCTTTCTATTTTCTTTCTTTTTTTATCCTCTTTCTTTTTTATTTATGTTTATTTTCTTTCTTTCTGTATTTTTTTCTTTCTTTGCATCCTCTTTCATCTTTATTTCTATTTTTTTCTATCTTTTTTCTATCCTTTTTCTTTTTTTCCTTTTATATTTCTATCCTTTTTCATCTTCTACTTTTATCCGTGTTTGTACACAAAATTTCTATCTTCATTCCAATTATCTATCTTCCTTTCATCCAATTTTTAAACTAAACCGTATTTATGTATTTCTATATGTGTTCTAAGTTACCACCTGCAGTTTCTCCTTTCTATCCAATTCCTATCATTTTATCATCAATCAGCAATTCATATCTCTTTATCAAAGTTCTATCTTTTTACCTAATTTCTATCTAATTACAAAGCTTCTATCATTTTATCTATTTTAAATTTGACTGCCTAACTTAATCTTTTTATTAACTTTTTTATATTTTTTTATCTCATTTCCAACTTGTAATACCCATTTCCATATTTTTGTCTAGTCATAAAACTCTGGAATAGGAAGTCGACCTTTAAACTCAAGTTATGACTTTTAATAGGTCATTGAACATGAGGCTCAGCAATTGTGCAATGTAAACAGACCCATTTTACTTAAATAGTAATTTAATAACTTTCAAGTAAAGCTATATGCTTTAAACAACATCAAACTCACTTCAGAAATGCTATAATTTCGTCTAGTCTTCCTATTCCACAGTTTTCTGGTTATGACTGTATATGTATCAGTTCACATATTATTTGACGTATTTGTGATACATCCGTCTGTATATCTATCCATCTATCTATATATTTATATCTATGTATGAGTAGTATCTGAGTAACCGGTCCTAAATGTATCGGGTGTGTAGTCTCTACTGGAGAGAAAAACCATCCTTTAGTCCGGTTCCAACCTTCAAACCATCAACACAACAAGAGTGAAAGTTACTCGAGAGTATTTTAAAGCTCTGCTCCATATTTTGTGTTTTGTGAGATTAGGGATTCCCAGGATACATCAAGGTATTAAAGGCTTAGCTTTCAAGTCACTGCTTGAAATTTGTCCGGATTAAATTGCTTGAATGTGAAGGTAGATTTATGATTTAAAAACTAGATGTTTGACTCTCTAAAATATGACAGATACCTTTTAAACTCGTTAAACCAGCCTGGCATTCGCATACATTTCAACTATCTGAAATTTTGAAAAATATTTTTTTTAATTTTATTTTGATAAAAGTGAAGTTCAGATGTGAGTAGAAAAATATGTTTTCACAAATATTGTTACGAAAAGTTCTAAAAATAAATCAGACAATTTGACAATATTTACGTTAATCGTTGAAAGTTTGGAGTTTTTCAAAACTAAATATTTAAGAAACAGAGAAATAATCTGATAATCATGAAATCATCGCACAGCATTTAATTTTTGCATAAATCACGACGTGATCATAATTGGTATTCATTCAGTGGAATGTCTTTTTTTGAAGTTAAAGAAGACACTCAATGCTTTTAGTTAAATATCTTTCTAATCTTTCAAAATTTAACAGATTTGTTAATAAAAGTTTCACTATATTTAATATAAAAGTTTCTAAGAATAAACCTAAACCCCTTTTTTATCTGATATCGGGGTTCAATGTGAATTCAAACCTAAACTTCAGTTTTTTAAAGAAAAAGAATACATTCATGAGGAGTCAGAAATAATCAATTATAATTTAAAACTTTCTAAAGTGAGACAAATAGTTCCAAACACTTTGAAAAGTTGCGTCAATGTTTAAGACTGGGTGGACTTGTGTCGCAAGGCATTGTCTATAATTTTACCTCAAAACCTTGTTCATACTTTTCTGTAGCCATAGACATGTGCATGTAGAATCATGTAAATCAAGCACTTGTTTTTAACTTTATATTTTAAAAAGTAATTTTCTTTAAATTTCATCATCATCATCATTATTATTATTATTATTATTATTACGGTCAGCGTAGAATTTTTTTTTTATTTACTGAATTATAATTGTCAGATGTATGTATGATCAGAAGGGGTCATGATGACGTCATAGTAAATCTGAGTTCAAATATTAATCATATTGACACTCCTTCTATATTTAGGTATGCAGTATGCGGAGGCTTCATTTCATTCATCGCACAAACTTGGCTTGAAAACTGCCTGAAAACTGCCTGAAAACTGCCTGAAACCCGGCCTGAAACGGCCTGAAAACTCTCTTAATTAGTTTTTAAACTATAGTGTTGTGATCTGTAGTGTATATGCGAGCAGAATGAAGAGTAGTGAGATGTTGGGAATAATAATTATTCTAGCTGGAGCCCAGGTTTATTTATAACTTATCATTTACTATCAAGAATTTAGAACGCTTCGCAACTCTTGTCCAGTAAAACTAAAGTTGGAAATTATTATCATCCATTTTTAACATTCAGGATTTCTAGGCTTTCAAGAGATTCCACAAAAATCTGATAAATTTAACAATTATAAAATTGTATTTTCTTAAAGTTTGTTTTTATTACACTACAAGCTAGAGTGCTGGGTTTAATCAGTCAAAGTTGTGCCTAAATTTATGTAAGAAAACTGATATAAAATAAAAGGCAAAAACTCTAGAATATTAAAAATAAAAACGGAAAATAATGCTTCCCAACTCTAAGCAAAACTGCTTTGAAAAGTAAACTTTGAGTAGATCGATGAAGTAAAAGAAAATCTTTTAAACATTTTAATGAAATTTAATATTTTCACAAATTTTAGCTTTAACAATTTTTCTTGGTTTAAAATTATTTTTAGTATTATTATTTCATATAAATTCCATATTTGTTAGTAAATCTTTTTTTAAGTAATCGTTAAGTCAAATTTCACTGACAACCCCACGAACAATGAAAAAAATATTAAAACTTTTTCAGAAAATTATTTTTTTTTTAATTATTTACTTTTAACTAAAAAATTTCTTACTAAGAAATTTTTTTGGCTGTACAGTACTCATTTTCTTAATAATTTTTTTGGCTGTACAGTACACATTTTCATAATAATATTACAAATATCTACAATATCAAAATAGTTGTACAAATAAATATTTTTCAAAATACTTTGAATCTGTTTTGTTTAAAACTCTCTTTATAAGTAATTCTTCTTAACCCCATAGCCCCCCTCTGATTTATATATCTTAAAGTACAATTAGAAATAATGAGAAATATAAGAAATGAGAAATAAAAGAAACTAGCTTGAGCCTGAAAACTTTAGAATGGTGGATATCGAGATCAATGCTTGATCTCCTCTTTTCGTAATTTCCAGATTAAATATTTAAACCAAGCTAAGAGCATTCCTGTGGTTCAACTGAGATTCCCAATCAAAATTTGAGGCAAATTGGTTAAAATGTTCATGAGTTATGATCATACATACAAACAAACAGAGTTTACTACTTTATTATATACTAGCTTGGGAACCCAGTGCTGCCTAGGTTACTAAAAGTTACTCCCACCATTTACCCGCACTTGAACGATTTTACCGGAAAACAGAATTTTCGCCATTTAAGCCCACCCACTCCACTTAGAATCTCAAAACCAAGCTTAAAACATTCCCGTGGCTCTCCCGAGTTCCCCAATCAAAATTTGAGGCAAATTGGTCCAGGGGTTCCCAAGTTATGATCGGACAAATAAAGAAACAGACAATCAGAGATTGCAACTTTATATATATAGATAGATGAGAAATATAATAAATGAGAAATATTAAAGATCTTGTTGATCACTAAAAGGGTGCACCGGGAAATATGATATTCAATTTGTTCAATCACTAAATCTAGTTTCTTCAAGAAAAAAATCAAATCAAATAAAATGCCAGTTTCAAGTTTCATTTCTAGTAACAAAGTGTACATATAATTTTGAGGAGCTATTGTGTTATATTAAGATTTTTTCATCTTCAAAAGAGGAGAATTAATCCAAAACCGATTTAATGCCTTTTTATCAAGAAATTTAGTCACGACGCTTTAACTTTATGCAATATATTATATATATATATAAATATATTAATAATTCCAGTTTATTTTCTTCTAAACTTCATTTATTATCAAAAGATCGTCTAGCTGAAAAGTGTGATTTCTGATCGGCTGTGTTTAATTTTATAATGAGACTCAAAAAACTTTGGAATAGGAAGACGACTGCTAGACTCAAGCTATGCCTTCAAATTGAACATGGACTATAGTGTAGTGTCTACACTATACATTATACATTAATGACAGTCCCATTTCAATTAATTAATTAAAATCCTTTTTTCTTAATAACATCATAAATTGATTCAATGTCGTCTTCCTATTCCACAGTTTTATGGTCTTAATGTAGATGAAAGGCATCTTTTAGTGTTTAAATTATTGAAAGAATATCGGTTATTAATCCTTTTTACCCCATTCCATTCATTTTGGCAGCTGCCCAAGGAAGTTACGTGCACTTGTCGCGTCGAATAACAAAAAAAGAGAGATTAGTATATATTTAAGGTTAGGACAGGTTAAGACAAGTTAGGGGGCCTAGCGCCGCGGCTAGAACAGGCTCTCTCTTTTTCTTGTAATTGTAATTGTAACTTCCTAGGGCTTCTGCTATTAATTTTTTGTATGCAACGATGAGGAAGAAACAGAAAGTTAATTTTCAGATAGAAAAGAAAGGATATTTTCGTTTTAAAGATCAGGGCACTGCTAGGAATTGGATATGTACACATGAAGGGGTACTTAAAAGGTTGGGAGGGGCTTTTTCTTTTCTACTCGATCCTTTATTTTGCGTTTCAACTTTTCCAATTTTGATTTTATTGCATCATGCCATTCGATACCATGCCCCCCCCCCTCCCTCAAATGCTTACCCCTTCCCCTTTTTCCCCCTTAACTTCATCTATCAAACTTTAAAGACTTAATCATGCAATGTTCTTTTAACGCATTTTTTTATCAAGTTTTAGGTAAATATTCTTTCAGTTTCCTTCCTCATTATTCAAACCTGAAGTAGTTAATCAAAATACTTTGGTAGCCAATACAACAATTAACAATATATAATATATTTTAATAACATCATTTCTTGTTGTAAAAATACTGGTTTTTAAATATCACTTAATACAAAAAAGTTGTTGGTACATTATCATGAAAATTAGAAAATCACAATATAAGATTTAACAAATTTTTCTATTTTTAATCTATGGATTTGCAAAAATAGAAAAATATCTTGCAAAAAACATTTTTAATTTTACCAGCCATAAACCTTTCCTGGGGTCGTGTGAGGCCCTAAGCAAAATTTGGGGCCTATCGGTTCAGCTTTTTTTTACGTTTTTTTTGGACACATAAAAACCATCAATAAAGAAATACTAAAATAATGAAACTATAACGTGCCAGGGTTATAGTGTGTAAACATTCTCTGTTACGACTGATAGCACTATATGAGGTCATTGAGGACGCAGAGTGCTGTGAGGATGCACAATAAAGTACACGAATAAAACCGTGCTATTGTGAAATAATGGGACAACCATATAAGCATTATATGTAGCTTTTCATATTAGGATACATTATATACAAGACTGGTAGGGATTGAAGGTATCTTGGTGGTAAAGAAGAGAAATTCAAATTATGTTTCAAGAGGACTCAAGGAGAGAAAGGAAGATGTTATACATAACTATCACCTTGATTAAATTATCCCCCCTCCCATATAGCATTTTAGAGGTTTCATCTCATAAATTGGTAGATGTGAGTGTTTAGACCAGTTTAAAGTCCTGTATAAAAACTTTAATAAAAATCCAATACAAACCAGTTAAGTCGAACTACTGGTTTCTGGCATTTAAATTTATGCAATTTCAAACTTTTTAATACATTATACAACAGTATAAACTCACTAATATTCAGTAAATCAACTTATAGCTTACGTTCTTGGGCTTCTTTTCCAGTGGCAAAAACTTTTGGTCGGGATGGCGCTGAGTAACATCTGCTAACATGGATATCATCAGCGCAATGTTAAAATTGAAGAGCTTATTATAATAATCCAGGGATAAGCGTAATTTCGGGTGACTTTCATGCAAATAGGAGAATATTCGATTTACCACGGTAAACTTTTAATCCTTTGACGGATCATGATCGGCTTAGAACTCTGTTAGTGTATCTCTAAAATTGTCGAAAGACTAGAGTGTACGCTTGTGTACAGTGTGAACACAGCTGACAATTCATATATTTATCAAAAATCCGCACTTCTATGTACAACGCAGTTTTTTAAAGAATTTCAATGTAAATATGTAAATATGTGTACCCCATACACCCAGGAATATGTGTACCCCATACACCCAGGAATATGTGTACCCCATACACCCAGGAATGATACATAATTTTCTGAATAAATCTAATCATTGTATTTCAAATGGACTTCTAAGCTTTCAAGCTTTTATCAAACCTTGATCTGATAAAACTAAACAATTTTCTTTTTTTTAACATTATTTGTCTTTCTTTGATTTTACCGTTCTGATTTCTTGCCTAAAACTATAACTTTACAATCCTTAAATCTTTGACTTTGGACTTATGAAATTTAAAACTTTGAATTATTTCAGACCAAATAGTCATAGTATAAATTTCTTAGGTTTTCAAAGATTAGGTTGCAAAGATTAGGAATGAAAAAATTTGAGTTTATTTAACATTTTTTGAAAATTTTGGTTATCATGCCCAGACTTACATTACAACAAAAGTACGTGTGTTTAATCTATAAACAGCAGTTTTGTTAGATATTATAAAGAACTTGTCTCTAAAGCCTGAAAATGACAAGTTTAAGCTTTTTACGAAGAGACAATGTAAGTTTGTTCAATGTTAAATAAACTATAACTATATCTGGAATCTTCTCTTGTGCAGGGATAACTTCTTATCAAAACTTTCCAGTCTATAAACCTGAACATAAATTCAAAATTATAAAATACGTACATTCACCTTAGAACAGAAAACATTCGGAAAACTTTTTTGTGGATTTTTTTTAAAAGTAGAAAATTTGTTTGAAATGAAAACAGATTTTAGAATGCATTAAACATCGAAATATTTTACTACAGTGAAACCCTTAACAACGAATACATCGGAAGAATTTATCAAATGTCGTCTTGACAATTTTTCAATGAGTTTTATACTATATTACGTAAATTTCAGTATTTGCGAAAATAAATGAATAGCTATGAATATGCGGGAGCAGTTTTAAAGAGTTCCATATAATCATTTAATTAAAAAACTAAATATCTGCAACATTCCATTATCAGAAAGTGAAGAATACGACATTCGATGAATTCCTTTGATGTATTCGTTATTAAGGGTTTCACTGTATATAAAATGTATATAAAATAAAATGCTATATTTATCTATATAAAATTCCAGCTTGTTATTTAAATCAAATAATACGAAAACAAACTCTAAAATATCTTAATTATGACAAATACCGCATTTTTTTATCTGTTAGTTATTTTAAGATGAAATAATCAAAATTTTAAATATCACAGGATTGGATTTAGATTTTAAATATTCAAGCTATGAACATTAGAGTTTGAGGCGTCCAATCACTTCCTTTGAATCATAAAAATATTAGCTTTAATCTATGTACTTTATACTTTTATATTGTATACTATGTTATATATTAATGTACTGTACTGCAGGGTTCTGTACTACCGTATGAAGCTTGCTCCGCTGTAGCGTGTCGAGCTGGGCGGGAATGTGTTGTACTGGAGAACAAGAATACGGATTGCGTTTGCATCACTAAATGTCCGGATCATTGGAAGCCGGTAAGAACTACAAGTACACAGTCCTTTAAAATTAACTTAAACTTCCATTAACACTAAGCTTTGAAATGCATGCCTAAAACTATGAAACAATAAGTAAGTAAGAAAAATCAATAAGTAAAGGACGTAAAGTGTTCACTGGACTAAACTGCTGCAACGCTTCTCGAATCTGAAAAATACAAGTGAGTTGTAATCTCGTCTCTGAAGTTGCATCTTTGTGGGTAACGCTGAAGTTACCATTTATTTTGACATTTCCACATGTTCTGTTTTTATCACGAATTCCTATGAAACGTTAGTCCCCAACCCTTGATGAGTTCTGATATTCTAGGTTTGTGGGTCGGATGGTAAGAGCTATGATAATCACTGTGAACTTCATAGAACAGCATGCATAGATGGAGTTCATATTTCACCTTTACATCCAGGGTTCTGCAAGTAAGTTCATATTTCACCTTTACATCCAGGGTTCTGCAATTAAGTTCATATTTCACCTTTACATCCAGAATTCTGTAAGTAAGTTCATATTTCATCTTTACATCCAGAATTCTGTAAGTAAGTTAATATTTCATCTTTACATCCAGAATTCTGCAATTAAGTTCATATTTCATCTTTACATCCAGAATTCTGTAAGTAAGTTCATATTTCATCTTTACATCCAGAATTCTGTAAGTAAGTTCATATTTCATCTTTACATCCAGAATTCTGCAAGTAAGTTCATATTTCATCTTTACATCCAGATTTTTGTAAGTAAGTTCATATTTCTTTTACTGCAGCCAAAAAGTGAGAAGTGTTTTTAAGAAATAGAGTCTTTGCAAGAAACTCTGATTTTCTAATCACTGTTATATCAAAAAATATCAACGGTTTACACCGTCAGGTTTCAAAAATATAGGGATTAGAATATTTGAAGTCCGTAATAAACAGTATAGATGTTTCAGTTTTTACTATTCACATTTTATTCATGTGTTTCACGTCTCACGTCGATCTTTTGAAGTCAAAATCTTTTACAATGTATAGAAACATGTAAAATGAAATAATAAAATAAAAGTTACAAACTGTGGTTGAAATTATTTCCGACAATGAAAGAATAGCATGCATCTTGAAATAAAAATGTTGTTAGAAGAAGCTAAAGATAAGGATTGGATACAGATTAATGTGACTGCTTGGTAATGTTTCCATTTGAACCATGGAGCAATAAATCCTTTTTTCATTCTCAAATTTTATCCTTTCTTTTACATTCTTTCTAACTAGCAACACAGGAGACTGTTTAATGTTTACAAAATAAAAAGTAAAACTCAAAACAATTCCATTTTTGTTTAAAATATCAAAAAGATAAGAAAACCCTGGTTTTCTCAGACGAATTAGCCTTGCAATGTCATGACTGTCAGGCAGTACAGACAGAAAATTATTTTTTCTCAAATACTATTTGAAAATAGTAGAAAATCATAATTGATAAACATATTTCTGCAGTTTTAAGTTTTTTAAAAAAGACATCGCTTGTTTCTAATAAATATCTTCTTACGACTAGTAACAAATACGCATGTGACTTTTTGGTAATAATTCAAGGATTATTTGAAAAACTTTAAGCAGTAATAAAGTCTGAGTTAAAAAAAAATTTTGTATTTTTTTCTTTCAACATCAGATTTTTATAAATACAGTTTCTTTAGCTTTATATCCTTGCAGTTCTTATTTAGGCAAACGCAACCTTAAAGGAATTTACAATCCACATTATTCTCACTCAAAACTCAGAAATAATTTTGTCCATTACATCTGAAGAACTGAAGCTTGAAGAAATTTCTTTATATTTCTAGAATGTAAATGTAGAGGGCTTCAACAACAACCGCGTTAATGTCACAAGATTAAGAATTATCCAACTTTTATAACTATCTTTCATGATATCTGTGAACCATCATTGATACCTTTGTCGTGTTTACAAAATTTAATGAAAGAAATGGTTAGACGACCTAAGCCGAATAAAACAATTTAAAGAAAAGAAAATATTATTCCTCTTCAATGGAAAAATTAGAATTCGATTGGAAACTGTTAAAAAGTTGAACTCTAACCTATCCCCCAGCTGTATATTGAATATTGAAGCGGTAGAAAGAGGAAACTTTTTATTCTAAAACAGAGGGGTTTTCTATCCTATCGGGTTCTGCCAGAACTTACAAACTTTCAGCTGCAAAATCATTTTTTCAAGCGAAAGATTAAACATAACAAAGTTTGAAATCTTTTGCAAAAATTGATATTTTTTGAACCAGAAAATGTTGAGTTTTTTCTTTCTTTGATAAATTAGGCTGTTAAATATTTCAAACTCCACAGTATTATTTTTTATTACAATTTACATATTAGAAAATTCTAAATATTTCTGATCTTCTCCATAACTCTGTATTAAGAGAATTTATGTTTGAAACTTAGATTATTTGATCTTACATAACTTATAGTTTAAAATATATAAGGTCTACACTATTTGGTTGCAAAAATAAAGGGATTAAAAAATCAGAGTTTCTGGCAAAGACTCAATTCCTTTACTTTAATTTGACGCGATTTAGAGATTCATGCGAGTACTATGGTGCCAGCAGTAGGTTCATGAGAGTACTATGGTGCCAGCAGTAGGTTCATGAGAGTACTTTGGTGCAAGCAGTAGGTTCATGAGAGTACTTTGGTGCAAGCAGTAGGTTCATGAGAGTACTATGGTGCCAGCAGTAGGTTCATGAGAGTACTTTGGTGCAAGCAGTAGGTTCATGAGAGTACTATGGTGCCAGCAGTAGGTTCAAACAAGGGGTTGGGGTTTGATCAGATTTTAACAAGATCATATAAAGAGAAAAGTTTTTATGCCCTATTCTCAACTTAACCCTTTAAACCTTCTGAATAAATATGATGGGGAAGCTAGATATACAGGGTTACCCACAGAGGATGAGACTGTAAAGACGACCTAAAACTCTTAAAATGTGACGATCCCAAGGTTGAAATAAGCATTTGGTCTTAATGATCTAATGGCTTAGTTAATGATTTGGCAAAGAAAGAAAACAGTTTACAGTTGCAGGGAAACAGACTAAATAAATTCCGTACAGTCGTCTCTGAAGTATCACCCTGTAGAATGTATATATCTTTTTAATTTTAATTTTTCTTTCTGTTGTTTCAAAGGGAGTGACCGGCTATGTAAGGTAGTTGAACTGAGTATGCAGTGTTGTGGAAAACTTCTTTTGAAAGTTTTTCCGCAGCAGAAATTCTTAAATTACTTTTGTAGAGAAACCACAATTGAAAATAATAATTTTCAAAATTACAAACATTGATATCTGATTTTTAGCATAGAGGGTCACTTGAAATAAAGTTTTCCGTCCCTTTATTATATTTTCAAATATAATATTACAATGACGTAAATATGAAATATAATTATAAAACAGTTTGACCAGGCTAGATGCAAAGAATAAAGTGTATTCCTATGATTCTCATATATTCTGCTCACATTTTCATTCAGTTTCTTTTCTAGATTACTCTAGACAACCTTATATCCTTTATAATTAAAGGGATTGTTTACCAGATTACTCTAGACAACATTATATCCTTTATAATTAAAGGGATTGTTTTCTAGATTACTCTAGCCAACCTTATATCCTTTATAATTAAAGGGATTGTTTACTTATTTTCTAGATTACTCTAGCCAACCTTATATCCTTTATAATGAAAGGGATTGTTTACTCTTTTTATAATTAAAGGGATTATTTACTCTTTTTATAATTAAAGGGATTGTTTACTCTAGCCAACCTTATATCCTTTATAATTAAAGGGATTGTTCACTTATTTTAAAATACAGAAATACCAAGCCAACAATAACCGCTCAACATTTTTCCTTAGAGCCACGAATAATCATACTATTTGTCAGGGGCGTACGAGAGCATTTGTGTAGAAACAAATTTGTGTGCCCTTACAGTTTCCTTTCATAGATATAACTACATACACACATATATATACAGTTTCCTTTCATAGATATAACTACATACACATATATATATATAGAGTTTAAAACCTGTATCCGGCTAAATGGTATGGTTATTAAACAAAAAGTTCCAAGCACTGTTTAAATAGGTTGAATCAAGGCATTTTTTTAAATTTTACCAGCATTTTTTTTCATCAATTCATCAATAAACCATCCCGTCATGTGAATTGTTACAAAAAAATTGGTTCATTATTGGTTCATGACGTTTATTGGACACAATCAGACAAACAAGCAGACCGACAAGGCAAATCTATGTATTTCGGGATTGGGGGATTGTCTTTTACCATGTATTCTTTAAAGGGATTGCTAGCCTAGTTTCCATTGATTTAGATCATATAAAAATCAATTAAAAAAAAGATAAAACATTCAGAGTTAAGCTGATGAAGGAATTAATTTACTTTTCTGACGAGAAAACATGTATTTTTAAAGATAAATATATAAACCAGCAACATTTAATTAATTATAATTAAGAAACTCGTTCTTACTTTACGGAATTACAGGAAAAATCTTTTTTTAAATAAATTTTTAACATTAAAGAAAATGTATATTTTTTCTTACACCTCAGCTATGATCCTTGTATATACCTGACTACACCAATGATATGATCCTTGTATATATCTGACTACACCAATGATATGATCCTTGTATTATATATCTGGCTACACCAATGATACGATCCTTGTATATATATCTAACTACACCAATAATATGAACCTTGTACACTCCTGTAATATGGTTCTTATGCATAAAACGTGGCTACACTTTTTCCTTATATTTTCCCTGAAAGGTTCCCTAAGCCGGAAAGTAGAATCATTTAATTTTTCTCCAATCTAAAGGTTAAAGTTTAGGGTTTCCTAGAATGGTAAATCAGTTTTCAGATTAAATCCTTTCATTTTGGTTTGAAAGAATATTTTTGTTAGATAAATAATGGTTTAGTTAAATCAAATTAAAGGATTTGCAAACAAATCTTTGCAGGGCTAAAGAAATCTTAAACATTTGCTGAGGTGTTTAAGTTTTTAAATTCTCAAAGATGTTTTATTTTCAATATTTGCAGAGAGTAATAATACTTTTTTAAAGGATTCTTAAGGATGTTAACTGTTTATTGTTGTTGGAAGGTGTTGATATTTAAATAATTTTAAGGTTTCTTATATTTCGCAATGTTTCAGGGATGTTAATATTCTTAAATGTTTGCAGGGGGTGTTGCTGTTAACATCCAAATATTTTAGTTTTTAAAATATCTAAATGAATAAATATTTCTAGGGGTGAGAGGGATGCTCTGATTGCCCGTGAAGAGTTTATTGAACAGATTTCACATTGGGGAGAAGAAAAAGATGTCCCTACACCGCGTGAGTATAATTTCAGAATTATTTTTTTTAAATTTTTCAGAACTGAATTGAGGCATCTTTTCCTATGACCCCTTTATTGGGGGGCTCACACAAATCTTTGATTATATAACCTTCCTTAAATTCAAATTAAACATCGCTTGCTCTGCTGCTGTGAAGAAGGGCCAAGTTTATTCAAATTTAATTATCGCATAGGAATGCATAATTGGTTTGGTTTAAAGCTTAATTACTTTAAAAATGCTCTAAATAAGTCTGAAATGTCTAACATATTTCAAAATTATAAGTTGAAAAAGTTTTCTTTCATTACATTGTGCTAAATTTTACCTCTGGCAAAAGATAAAAGGCCTAAACGAAAAACGAAAGCGGTAATAACTCATTATGGTTGATATTCTTTTATTTCGGAGTAAAATTCTGCACAATGTAATAAACGCTAACTTAAGAAGAATCCAGTTCTTAATCCTATAAAAGCGCTCAGTTACCCCGCCCCCCCCCCTTTTTCGGAGTAAAATACTGCATAATGTAATAAACGCTAACTTAAGAAGAATCCAGTTCTTAATCCTATAAAAGCGCTCAGTTACCCCGCCCCCCCCCCTTTTTCGGAGTAAAATACTGCATAATGTAATAAACGCTAACTTAAGAAGAATCCAGTTCTTAACCCTTTAAAAGCGCCCCGTGCCTCCGCCCCCCCCCTCTTTTTTTCGAAGTAAAATTCTGCATAATGAAATAAACGCTAACTTAAGAAGAATCCAGTTCTTAACCCTATAAAAGCGCCCCGTGCCTCCGCCCCCCCCCCTCTTTTCCTTGAGGAAATAAATCCTTAATAAAAAGGTAATAGAGTGAAGGTTGCCATTGCAATACAAATTTATAGGCCGATTTTCAAAGCTGAAAAAAATAAAGACCGCCAACTTTTATGGTTCGGGTTGCCTAGTGCCAATTTCGGATCCAGCACACCTTTTTTTTACTAAAGCAGAATGAAAAAAGTATTCGTTTTGTTGAATTAGCTTACAGTATTTTTAAAAAAAATCTTTTGATAATGTTGATCGTTGAAATATTTTCAAAAACTAAAAATTACAAAATTTAACTTTAGTCTAACTCTTTACATACTGTTATTATATTATAAACACAACAATACACCTTTCCAGTATACTAGTTCTATTTAAACTCCATTGTTACAATAGCTCTGTCAATTTTTAACAAATTTCAACTAGCTTGTATGTTCTATAAATATATATATATATACATATATATATACAGTTTCCTTTCATTGATATAACTACATACACATATATATACAGTTTCCTTTCATAGATATAACTACATACACATATATCTACAAATATTTTACAGAAGGGTGTATTCAAAAATATGTCCAGGGGGCTCAAATCTTTTTTCTATGAAGGGATGTTTACCTGAAAACCCATCTCATTCACCTTCCATATTTGAAACGATGACTTCTGAGAGCTCCAACAGTTAACTGATCAGCGAAGTGGAAGATATCGTAATTTTTCTAGCTTGACAAGTGTATAATTCTGACAATTTGTTCCATTGTTTTTGTAGCAGGAATCCTTTAAGTCATTTATTGAGAAATCAATGAATATCTCATTCAGTCTCGATCATACAAAGCTTTTAAGAGTATTGTTGTAAATCAGACATGTCACTTTATTTAGTCGTAGATGGACTTTAAGTTTAATATTTTCATTTCCTAGTTGCTTGTTTTGAGAATGACCGGAACCGTCTGCGTGAGTTCCTGATTAGTTGGTTTGATCTAAGCTCCAGGAAACAGCCTTGGTTCAGGTAAACAGCTGATCAGTTGGTTTGATCTATTCTCCAGGAAACAGCCCTGGTTCAGGTAAACAGCTGATTAGTTGGATTGATCTATTATCCAGGAAACAGCCTTGGTTCAGGTAAACAGCTGATCAGTTGGTTTGATCTATTCTCCAGGAAACAGCCATGGTTCAGGTAAACAGCTGATTAGTTGGTTTGATCTATTATCCAGGAAACAGCCTTGGTTCAGGTAAACAGCTGATCGGTTGGTTTGATCTCAGCTCCAGGAAACAGCCCTGGTTCAGGTAAACAGCTGATTAGCTGGTTTGATCTCAGCTCCAGGAAACAGCCCTGGATCAGGTAAACAGCTTATCACTTGGTTTGATCTATTCTCCAGGAAACAGCCTTGGTAAAAAAACAGGAAGTAAATAGAAAAAATGGATTAACTACCAGTTCAATTTATTAGTAAATTCTGGGACATCGTAATAATTCAATTCATATCAGACCTTTAAAAGGTTTCATATCAGACCTTTTAAAGGTTTCACATTAAATTTCAAACAGATTAAAAAGCATAACTTTAATAAATAAAACTGTGTTCAATGATTTTTTAGAAAAGATACCTCTCAGGGTTTATTTTTGTCGTCTTCCGGGTGCAGACAAAATATTTGATATTCCTTTTTAAACATATAAAACTACGCAGACAACAACAGACCTTCTACGTGAGATTTATTTTTCATTATTTTTTTTAATTGATTAAACTTTTACAATGTATTATTAATTACACTGACCATAGATTAATTAAAATAACAGTTAGGGCACTAGATGTCGTCTTTTCAAGGTTTGGATGAAACTCGTTCAAAATAAGGCAGAAATTGATAAACATTTCAATTTATTTAAGACAAAATTAATTTTATCACAATAAAATGTTCAGATGAGTTTTTTAATTTATCGTCAAAATACTCCTTTAGATTCCGAGCTTTCTGAAATATTTTGAGAAGCAAGGTATACGCAACAGGAGCCAACATTTTCCGCTAACCTTCTACATAAAAAACGAAAATTCAATATTTTTCAAGGAACATATCAAACATTAACCCACTTCAGCAAAAATTGGAAAGGAATTGAGTTTTTGCCACTTAAATAAATGTTCTAATCCCTAAATCTTAACAACCTAATTGTGTAAACCTTCGATATTTCAAACAAACGCTACGCGAGCTACCGAAATTTATAGTTTGAAATATCAAAGGTCTTCGAATTCGGGTTCTAAAGTATCAAGGATTAGAAAATCAGAGTTTCCTTTAAAAGTTTCAATCTAAAAACACGATTATTTTTTTAAGATTAGATGAAGGCAGAAAGAAAAATAAAAGTCCAATAAATTGTTTGAAATTCTTGTTGAACTTTAAAAAAAACAAATTTAAATTAAATATTGATTTCAAACAACTGTTGGAAATTGTTAATCCTAAATTTGGCTTTAAATATAAGTAAATATTTTCAACCAAAATTCATTTATTTTAGATGAACATATTTATTATTTTTAAACTGTAATATTTGCAGAGAAGAGAAATTATTTTTCTTATTATAAATATTACATATTTGTAATTATGGTAGTTATTTTTCTATATTAGTATATATTTATAATTAAGACTTATATAATATTATTAACATTACATGAGTAAATAGTATACAAAAAAGTTACTGATTAATCACCTCAAAATCTAATGTTCTAAAACTTACACTGTTAAAGCCGATTACTTCAAACTTAATTCTGCCTGTTACTCCCGCCGTTTACCCGCAATTGAAAGATTTTACCGGGAAACTAAATCTTCGCTTTTTAAGTCCACCCACTTAATTTAGAATTTCAAAGCTAAGAACATTTCCGTGGCTCTCCAGTTTTCCCCAATCAAAATGTGAGACAAATCGGTCCGTGGGTTTCTGAGTTATGATCGGACAAACAGAGATTACAACTTTATATATATGTATGTTGTATATATAATCATGAAATATGTATATTTGTAGTCATGGTATGACCCACAATGAGATCCTATCTGGACATTTTACTGGGATGGATGTTGATGAAGATGGATACCTGGATAGTCAAGAATTATACAAGTATATATCAAGAAATAGTTCTCAACCTCAGATTAAAACTGATAAAATCAGGTTAATATTCAATTCTAATTTCAGGGATTGTAAAGGATTTATTAGAATACGGGATAAAACGTGAGAAAACATTGATAGAAAGGGTTCTTGAATAGTCAACAGTAGAGTCTTCGCAGAGATTAAAGATCGCAGTAACTAAAGAGAAAGTCAGAGATTAGATCATAGAATGGAGGGGAGGGAAGAATGGATCGCTCAGACTGGAGCAGGGTCGATTCCAGGGTTAGACTACCATCTTATATATGGCTGGGTCTTCTAAAATCAAACATCAGTTTTATTTAAATCATTAGATAATAATTTTAATTACAAAACGTAAGAAGAGGGTAATTCATACATATCTACATTATTGGTGCATTGACGACCTTTATTCATTTCCTTGCTGTTGACTAGATGTAATTATAAATTTCTTAAATATTAAAATGTAAGGAAGGTTTGACCTGAATGATTGGTCAAGTCGGGTTCAATGCTAAAGATCAAAATTAAGAATTTGAGCTTTTTTATGGAATTATAAAAGTTTTATTTTAGCTTCCCCGTTTTACCGCGGGTACCACTGAGAATCGAATATACAACTCTTATCACTTGAAATAGGTTAACAGTCCCATTAACACTGGTCTCTGAATAGGTTAACAGTCCCATTAACACTGGTCTCTGAATAGGTTAACAGTCCCAATAACACTGGTCTCGGGATAGGTTTTCACATTGATATTATTTTATCATTTATTTTTACTGTTATATAATGTGCAGTGAAAAACAGTAGATTGTAAAGTTAAAAATAATGCATTTTCCAAGCATATCTTTATTTTAAAGAAATATGTCTTCTATGGAATTATAAAAGTTTTATTTTTAGTTTCCTTGTTTAAACTTTAACTAGGTAAAATGTTGACTATGGTACTGAAGATCTCAAATATCATTGCAAATATAGGATTTTAATATTCAGGATCCGCAATCTTACTCATTGACAGTGCTTGTAAAAAAATATTTATTATAAGTTGATAGAATGGCATTTTCATTATTTTCATTTTCTGTGAGAAAGCGGTATCTGCTAATTTACAGAAACATCTGATACAATAATAATGATACTCATATATAAAATAATGATAATCATCCTGCAACATCTTTCATTTTTCTTATTTCTAGTTATAAGTAACAAGTATGGAGAGTGATATCTAAAGAACAAATTTAAATATAAGCTTTTCGTTCTCTAAGAAGAAAAGTTTAGCCCAGTTTAGTTTCTCATCTGAAAAGTATAGTTTATTTTGTCTTCTAAATGAATGAGTAACTATAGATGGTGTAAACCTTAGTTATATCATATCTAGACTACATTATCTAACAGAATTTACAGATTGAAATATCATTGGTCGAGTACAATAGAATATAAAGAATAGAAAATAAGATTTTAGGTGAATACTTCGTTCTATTTCTCGCTCTTTATCTTTATAATAATCTCACACAGTGTTATTTGAAGAGAACTGTGCCTTGATGCTTTGGTAGAGGAAGGAGATGTAAACATGGATTGGAGACTCAGCTATTCAGAGTACAAGGAGATACTTCAGGACGGATATATTCCTTCTTCTCAAGGTAGTTTACCCTCCCCTTAAAATTGAAATTCAAAACAATTTTAAAAAACTTAAATTGATGCAATGTTAAAGTTTTTGGAAATTTGTTATTACAATTCTTTAAACCAACTGATGTTCGTACTATACGAACTTCGTAGACATTAAAATCAATTAATTTTTTAAACTATACATTTTTAAATTATATAGTCTCAGTTTAAAATGTCAAAGGTTTACAACTCTACACCATCATCATGTTGTAAAAGTTATAGGGATTAAAACGTTTCAATTTGTGGGAAAAACTCAGATCCTTTCTTTTAAAAATCCACACAACCTTGTTATAGCTTTCTCACTATTCGAACGTTTCATTTAAAATTCTGTATTTTTGATATTTTGTAAAAATGGTGTTTCTCCCTGATATAGATTTATGTCTAATAGAGACATTAGCAAAGCCCACTATACTGGGATAGGAACAGGCTTCCAGCTTAATGGATTTCTTGTGTAGTTGAAATACAAGTTCCACAAAACTCCAATCTGTTGCTCTTTCTTAACCTGGCAAAAACAGGGATATGGTCAAGTCTGAGGATAGAGTAGAGGGTGTCCCCCAAAAACATGGGATTTTGTTGACGACATTTAAATCATCCACAATGCCACAAACTCTAATTTTTTAATCCCTGTATCTTTGCCACCTGATAGTTGATATTTCAAAGTTTTGGTTATGATCTTGTAAAATTCATTAGTTCGAAATATTAAAGGTCTATGACATCAGGTTGCAAAGTTATATGGATTAAAAATCTTAGTTTTGTTAACATGTTTAGATCCTTTGGTCTCAATTTTGTATGTTAAAAAATAACAAGGTCAATTTTGAAGAAGCAAAACATTCAGATCACTGGTTGTGTTCATAAGATAAGGGGGGTAAACAGGGGTATAAAGGGGTCTTTTGAGCTTTTCTCCTTCTCCCCTCCCTCTTGGATAGGAATCCTATAAGGACATACATGAAAGTAGAAGTCACTCATGAAAAGCAGTCAATTAAAAAAGCTACTCTTCGATTACTTGTAAACTTATAATTCGAAAAAAGCTTGTTAACAACAAAACTTAATAAAAAGTCGTCTTCATTGTATATATTATATATATATCCACTTACCACTGTACTAAAGAACATAATATACCATGGATCACCTTTCAAATTATTCGTCAAAGACTTGAATTTAGTGATTTTGATTTGAATATATTAGAGTTCAACAAGTTCATAACTTCCTCTTTCATTTCAAATGAATTTTAAATAAAAGTTACTCGAATATATTAAAGTGAGGTTCTAATTCATATTTTACCGCGAGGTTTATTGAAGAAAGGAATTCAATATTTGAAAATATCTTACAAGGAAATCAGATATACCGGGTAACAGTAACCTATCCCTTAATAGAAAAGAATCTAAAGGCTGAATTTTGCTTTTGAGTTCAGTTCCACGGATCAAAGACTCTTTACTATATTTATGGATTGCGAACGGCTCCCAATTTTAAGAACATAAAATTTCAAAAAGAGGATTTCTCCTAAAATATTGGAAAACATTAAGTTCACTGGGGAAATAAATATTTTGGCATGAATCCCTCTGGTTAAATAAACGACGACATTTCTGAACTTCACCGCCTAATATATAACTGTTGTTAGTTTGTAAGCTGAATGGAAGAATATACAATGATGGAGCTGAAACTAGTGTTGAGTGCAATGGTTGGTAAGTAAATTAGGATACAGTGATATTTACAAAAAGTGGATTTTATTTTAATAATTGAAATACGAATACTTTTATCTTTGAAATAATTTTCGGCATTTGTTTGTCAACCTAATCTTACAAGTATGATTCTCTAGTCCTGTCATTTTCGAAATATGGTTTGCATTAAAAAATTCAAGAAATAGGGAGAATTTTCTAGTAGATTTCTAATTATTAAATAAAAGTATTCTTTATTCTGAATAAAATCATTCATATATCCGGTAGCATAATTTCATTTAGTATTCATCATTTATCAACAATTTAAGATTTTCCACCACGCCTTCTCAATTAGAATAAAATATTCATTTTACATTGTTCATTCAAGTTTTCAGTAGATTATTTTATTTGTCATCAAATTAGAAAATTATTTTGTGTTCCACGAACTCCTGTGTTTAAAATATTTTGCAACTAAATGTTAGGTATGTTTTAATTCTTAAAATGGAATCTTTAAATACTATTTTAGGATTTATTCTGATATAAATAACATTCATTCATATTTCATATGCCTATACATTTGAAAATGTCGTCTTCTTTAAGTTTAATGAATTTTGAATATCTAGAAAACAAGTGATTTTAAACAGGAAAATTTCGTTTTGTATTAAATATTTTTTTAAAAATCTCCTTACAGCTTCCAGTGATACTTAATCTTAATACGTTTCAAATGCCAGTTTTTACCGATATTTGGAGAGTACAATTTTGATTTTTTTCATAAGAAGTTTAAAAGGGAAACTATTTACTGGCAACAAATCCAGCTTTCTAATCCTTATATCTTTACAGCCTGATGTGATATAAATTTGAAATGTCAAACTATGAATTCTTCGAGATCAAATATTCAAAGTTTAAAGATGCGACGACACGAAAATTAGAGTGGAGTAACTTTTTATTTTTAAGAATATAATTTTTATATTTTTCCAGTGTTTGTGCTTGTGGTAAGTGGATTTGTACCAGCAACTTGTGTACCGAGGGATACAAGGATATTTTTAACAACGACAAAATTGACGATGATGATGATGATGAGGATGAGGGTGAGGATAGATACAAAGATATATTTACAAACAGTTTGGATATTCAAGACTCAAGAACAAAGCATCCTCTGGATCTAAAAACCAAGGGAGGATTGAATACTATAGAGACAAAGTATAAGATGTTGTTAAACAACAGAATCTATAGTCATGATGATATGGATGATGATGATGCAAACTATGAGTACGATGATGATGATGATGATGATGATGATGATGATGACGAACCTGAAGAGGATCCCGATGTTCAAGATATAAACTGGTTTTAAAATCACACAAAAAAATTAAATGGTTCGAACAAAAAAACAAAGTTTACATATTGGGATAACTAAAGATGCTTTGGTTTGAATACTGGAAAAAATTTCATTATTTAACATTTAGGCAAAAAAATAAAATGATTAGGCCTTTATCTAAGCATTTACCGACGTTCAACGATCTGAAGAAAAACAAAAAATTTTCATCGGAACATCTTGTATATCCAGTACTTTAGTACATCTTGTACATCCAGTACTATAGTACTGTACTAAGGAATACAGTACAAAATGTATTGTATTCTTTTTTATACAAGAAATCTAACAATACATGATGTAAATGGATATTTAAATACAAAATAAAATGTAAATCAGTGTTGAAAATATCTTTAATTATCAATATTCTTGTAGTCTTACCTATTTTTTTAAGCACGTAACATTCATGGAAATTAAACAAAATTTAAATGGGAATGTTTTTTATATTTAAAATTTAAGATATCTTCAAAGAAGAGGCTAAATGGAAACCTTGGTTTATTAATAATTGTATTTATTAACTTTTTAATCAATTTAAGCAAATCTTTAGTAATCTAAAATTAAATTCATCAGCGACCATTTTGATTTAACAAAAGTATAATTTAAAAAAATTGTGTTTTTAACGTTTCAAAATTATAGTTTATTTTTTGTCCTATATTGTCAAACGTCTAAGATATGTTACTGATTTTTATTAATTTGAACACGAATTCTAGTTTTTACATCAACAGGCTATTTATCAGATTATGCAATAAAATATATAAATGATACAAATAATTTCTTTAAGAAGATTTCAGAAAAATAAAATATTGCCAAGAAGACTTTAGTATAATCTTCATTTGGTGGGGGGGGGGGGGATGGTTCAAGTTCTCCTAAAGGGATCCTTCAATTACAGAGTGCCCTCAAAAAAAATAACAACATTGTACTTTAAACCTTTATCTAAAAAGCAATTTTGTAAACCTAGTTCGACATTTTTTTAATAATCTTTAATGAAACTTCCTTTAAAGGTCACTTTCAACTACCACGTCAAATTAAAGTAAACTGCACGAAAGATTAAAATCTTAAATGATTTATTAGCTTTTAGATTATTTATTTTTTATTAGTTTCATTTATCAGTTTTATTAGCATAACGTCTATAGTTGAAGAGCTTTTGAGAAGAATAAAATTGTTTTGAATTGCTAATATGAAACCAAATAAATTTAAAATAGAGGAGTAACGAGAACACAAATTCATCCCGGTAACCTTCTCCTCCTGGTTAGTTTGCAGTGCTACGGAGTCAGTCCCTTTGAAACTCCTTTAAAGGGGGGCATGCATGTTTCACAACAAAATGACAAAGACTGAGATTCACAGTATTCAACGTTTACTACTTGTAAAAGATTTAAAGAGTACCATTGTGAATCGGGTATTTCCAGCTGTAGATGTGCGGTTACTTAAAAATTACGCCGACATTCCGTTTAAGTGGTAGGGTTAGTAGCCCAAGGTTGTAAATTTTGTTAATGTCAGCTTTAGATACTTCAGATAATAAATTAAATGCATTTAATTCTTAATTCGGGTTTTAAATCCTAATTCCTAGAATTTAGATGGAGCATCCTAGACTCCAGCTCCTAGATTATAAAACCTTGTTCATGTTTCTGGATGGGGGGGGGGGGGAAGAAAAGACGAAAAAATAGCGGACAAGGCAAACAAAATTAGATCTTTTTAAAATGTAGTTCTGAGGCTACGGCTGCACGATCTATTATTACTAAAACATTCTGAAATGTTAAATAAAGGTCTTCTATAGCAATGTATAAACAAAAACTAAAAATATTGAAAGTTAGAAGTTTATTGAAAGATCTCAAAACCTCTTTTTTAAATGGTGAAATACAGCCGAAAATATGTCAATATGGTCAACACTGAGTTTTGAATTTGTCTATCAGCTTTCGTCAAGCAATTTTTTTTATAAAATGAAGAATTTTTGTCCAAATATACGATGAGCCGGATGATCTATGGCGAGCATAGACTATTTTGTGATCCTGCAGATTCTAAGGATTTGCCGGCAGCTATGAAATTCAGAGAATGGCGCTTTAACCGGCTTGCGATCGTACAACCTTCATCGAAATTGCATCGTGGAATGTTTCACATTTCGACAAAAAAAACTATCAAGACATGTGACATGTTTTTAGTTTGAAAATCTTTACTGCAGCTTTTACCAAAAATGCATAAATATTTGAATCTGTTTAATTTAAAGATAGATTAGAAGCTCTGTTCCTTAATTAAACCATCTCTATGCACAATGTTCTCTCCACCAGATAACAGAAAACTAATTCACAGGTTCTACAGAGACAGAAACTTTAATCAGTTAAACCAAACTAAACCTAGTTCGGCAAATTTAGTTTGATAATGATAAATGATAAAAGTGTAGATGAAGGTAATGTAAACATGATTTTTAGTGATATTCCATTTAAATTGGGCCATGCTCTATTCACTACAGAATCTTTGCCTGAGCAAAAATGATGAAATATCTTAAAATTGATGATCTCTAATCATGGTCTCTGTTCAAAGTAACAATTGTGAATTTTAAGAAGCGAAGTCGACAAAGAACATTATTTTCAAAATGAAAAAAAAACATATACAGGGTTACCCACAAAAGGATGAGACTGTAAAGATGACAAACAATTTTAAATTCAACGATTTCAAGTTAAATAAATCTTCTGTCTTGCATTTGGTAAAGTATATACACTATACATTCCCTATAGTTGTCTATGAATTCTCTTTCTTTGTGGGTAACCCTGTATCTTCCCCATTGTTGCTCAAATGAAGATTTAAAGGGTTAGGTTATAAATTAGGCATATATCACGTCTAAAGTCATTATAATCTAACGAATTTGAAGTGATATTCATTTTATAAAACTAAGCGATTTTTGGGAAAAATGCATTGAACATTTGCAAAATTTAATAATGGATTTATAAATATATATATATATATCTGTTGAATTTTTTAAAACTTAAATCTTATAAAAACTTCTCAATTCAACGGATTTCAACGAGGAAAACTTTAATAGAAAGAAAAGTACAACTTGATTAAAAAAGATTGTTTGTAAACTTAAAGTCGAGTTTTAAAAAGGTTGTTTAGTAAGGTTGCTCACTGTTGATGCGCTCCAATGTACGGACAATGTCGGCTCCTAAGTAATGGATATGACGTCACTGGTTATAGAGGCGAGTGTAGCGATAAGTGACGTCATTCACGAATTTCATTGTCCGTTACTTAGAAGCCGGCATTTTCTGTACGAACGTATCGAGAGTAAGCATCCTTACAAAACAAACCATGATCTTAAGTGAACTATTTATATTCTAAACGTCCTTCCGTTGTCAGTTTAGTTCAGGACACCAGGCGTTTTCACAACTTTGCAATGTACAGTGTCCTAAGATGCATAGAATACTAAAAATAACATTGATGCTTGTTTTTAATAATTTTGAATCAGTCTAACCTTGTAATACGGTATTATATGCTTTAAATGTTTTTATTTAAATATATTTCTCAATTTTATATTTTGAAAATGTAAACCAGGATGTAAACCAACACGATTAAATCACGTTTTTAAATCGGACAAAAACAGGGTTCACCCTGTTAAAACGGAAATGCAGTTCAGAGGATTTCACGAACCTTGAATGCATAAAATTAGCTTTTTTGTTATATTAGATCGGAAATGTTTTAAAACAAATTGTTATCCGCAATAAAACGAAAATCCGCGTAGAATTAAGACATATTATTATTATTATAAAGATTTATTCACACACAAAGATATAAATACATATATAAATGGTGTAGTTAAAATTTGTTTAAATAATTTTTTTTTTTTTTTTTTTTTTGAAAACACAGGTTTCCAAAAGAAAAGAGAAAAAAATATGCAAAATTATGCACAAATAGAAAACAATGATTTTTACTCACTACATAACATATTTATCATTTCAGTTATTACGTAATCATCGAATCCTTCAACATATAAATTATTCATTCTTGTACTTAAAATTGGCTCCAACAAATGGTTTTTAAAGTCATCCTGTATGTTTAAGTTTCCCTTCTACTCAGCAACTGTAAGGGGATTAAGGTCTTTGCAGAACATTCCATTTGTAGATTTCTAAACAGTAGGAAAATGAAATGAATACTTGCATTGTTTGTCACTGGCAAAAAAGAAAGTTTTGTTAGCGATTGAATTTTTAAGACAAACGAAATTCCTAACAATTACCGACGCGACGTCATTCCAACCAGTCCTCTCAAGTCAGGATTTGGTCAAGACTCTTTGAATTACATAACTCGACTTAGATTGTCATTGGTTGGTCTCAAGTCGACCAATATTATTATGTCCATCTTCCAAAACCGTCGTATCTGTTTGGTAATTTTCCGTGTGACGTTCCGAGTTAAGTTGACTCAATTTGGTAATTTTTGTTCTAATATGAAATGTGTATTTTACGATCCAGAAAAGACCAATTTTCTATTTATTTCTAGAGTCCCATGATCTAAAAGTTTATTTTTATTTTTGTAAAATTAAATGAAGTGGCATGTTCTCAAGTTTCATTTCTTAAAATCTTATTCCACATAAATTATATGGTTTCAATCATAAAACAAAAATTTAATTTCTTCTCAGTCCGTGCACTCTACATCTTGGAAAAATGAACTAGTTTCCACCATTGCGAAAGCCGACTTTTTCTAAAATAAATCAATCAATAAACTCTGCCTTAAAATTTGCGGCAGTGAGCACTCAATTAAATTTCGTGAAAGTCAAAAGGAAAATAATCAAAGTATTAAAATTCTCAATTATAGAACAATGAATCTTTTTTTAATGATTAAATTTAGTGATTGATCGATAATTGAAATTGATTTATACTTAATTAAAATATAAATTGATTAATTTCCTGCGCTAAATAACCAGGAGCATACTCCCATCCTAGAAATAGATTTTTTAATGATATTGAGTGGTTTTTTCCAGTTGCTCCTCCCAGAATATTTCTACTTCTACCAGAGATGTCAATTAGACTTCTAATCTCAGATAAGAAGGGGAAAACCAGTGGATATGTCAGAGTTTAAATCTTGCACATTTATTTTTTAACGTATCAATGTTTTTTATGCCCCAATGGATTTTGAAATTTGCAACTGCAAACAGAGGTAATCTTATAAAGGTGTTCTTAACAATTTTAGAAATATATCAGTTGCAATAATTAAAAATAAGAAAATTACAGAAAAAAAAGGAAAAAAGAGGAAAATCATTGTATTTTCTGGTTCTCCCCGTATATATTACATAGTTTTCTTGTTCTCTCTGTATATATTAAATAGTTTTCTTGTTCTCCCTGTATATATTACATAGTTTTCTTGTTCTCTCTGTTTATATTACATAGTTTTCTGGTTCTCTCTCTATATATATTACATAGTTTTCTTGTTCTCTCTGTATATATTGCATAGTTTTCTTGTTCTCTCTGTATATATTACATAGTTTTCTTGTTCTCTTTGTATATATTACATAGTATTCTTGTTCGTTCTGTGTATATTACATAGTTTTCTGGTTCTCTCTGTATATATTACATAGTTTTCTTGTTCATTCTGTACATATTAAATAGTTTTCTTGTTCTCTCTGTATATATTACATAGTTTTCTTGTTCGTTCTGTATATATTACATAGTTTTCTTGTTCTCTCTGTGTATATTACAAGTTTTCTGGTTATCTCTGTTTATATTAACTAGTTTTCTGGTTCTCTCTGTATATATTACATAATTTTCTTGTTCTCTCTGTATATATTAAATAGTTTTCTTGTTCTCCCTGTATATATTACATAGTTTTCTTGTTCTCTCTGTTTATATTACATAGTTTTCTGGTTCTCTCTCTATATATATTACATAGTTTTCTTGTTCTCTCTGTATATATTACATAGTTTTCTTGTTCGTTCTTTATATATTAAATAGTTTTCTTGTTCTCTCGGTATATATTAAATAGTTTTCTTGTTCGTTCTATATATATTACATAGTTTTCTTGTTCTCTCTGTGTATATTACATAGTTTTCTGGTTCTCTCTGTATATATTTACTAGTTTTCTGGTTCTCTCTGTATATATTACATAATTTTCTTGTTCTCTCTGTATGTATTAAATAGTTTTCTTGTTCTCCCTGTATATATTACATAGTTTTCTTGTACTCTCTGTATATATTACATAGTTTTCTTGTTCTCTCTGTATATATTACATAGTTTTCTTGTTCTCTCTATATATATTATATAGTTTTCTTGTTATCTCTGTATACATTACATAGTTTTCTTGTTCTCTCTATATATATTACATAGTTTTCTTGTTCTCTCTGTATATATATTACATAGTTTTCTTGTTCTCTCTGTATATATTACATAGTTTTCTTGTTCTCTCTGTATATATTACATAGTTTTCTTGTTTTCTCTGTATATATTTAATAGTTTTCTTGTTAGTTCTCTCAGTATTATTATACACATAGTAGGTTACCCTGTGATTCTGCATCAAATAACTCTATTGTATCAAGGAAATCCCCCTGAAAAAATATTTAATTACTTGTAAATATGAATGATTGAAAAATGACTGCAAGTAAATATGAATTAATGCAAAAATGACTGCAAATAAATATGAATTATTGCAAAAATGACTGTAGTTAATATGAATTATTGCAAAAATGACTGCAAGTAAATGAGAATTATTGCAAAAATGACTGTCATATATCCTGCTGAATTCAGTTGTATATTGTGTTTATTTTAAATGGCTGCAATTTGTTTACCGAAAAGAAAGGAAAGAAAGGTAAAGTATGCATATTACATAAAATGAATAAACAAAAATTCAATTGTTCTTATCAATCATCTGGATGTTTTCAATATTGGTTAATATTGTGAAACGATGCAAAAATGACTGTAGTAAATATGAATTATTGCAAAAATGACTGTAGTTAATATGAATTATTGCATAAATGACTGTAGTAAATATGAATTATTGCAAAAATGACTGTAGTTAATATAAATTATTGCAAAAATGACTGCAAGTAAATATGAATTATTGCAAAAATGACTGCAAGTAAATATGAATTATTGCAAAAATGACTGCAAGTAAATATGAATTATTGCAAAAATGACTGCAAGTAACTATGAATTATTGTAAAAATGACTGCAAGTAAACATGAATTATTGCAAAAATGACTGCAAATAAATATGAATTATTGCAAAAATGACTGCAAGTAAATATGAATTATTGCAAAAATGACTGTAGTAAATATGAATTATTGCAAAAATGACTGTAGTTAATATGAATTATTGCATAAATGACTGTAGTAAATATGAATTATTGCGAAAATGACTGTAGTAAATAGGAATTATTGCAAAAATGACTGTAGTAAATATGAATTATTGCAAAATGACTGCAAGTAAACATGAATTATTGCAAAAATTACTGTAGTAAATATGAATTATTGCACAAATGACTGTAGTAAATATGAATTATTGCAAAATTGATTGCAAGTAAATATGAATTATTGCAAAAATGACTGCAATTGAATATGAATTATAGTAAAAATGACTGCAAGTAAATATGAATTATTGCAAAAATGACTCTAGTTAATATGAATTATTGCAAAAATGATTGCAATTAAATATGAATTATTGTAAAAATGACTGCAAGTAAATATGAATTATTGCAAAAATGACTGGAAGTAATTATGAATTATTGCAAAAATGACTGCAATTAAATATGAATTATTGTAAAAATGACTGCAAGTAAATATGAATTATTGCAAAAATGACTGTACATATTTCTGAATAAATACTAAGTATATGGACTTAAATGGAGAAACAATGTAAATAACTCCCTAAAGATCATACCTCCCATCCACCAAGAGCTGCTAAGGTTCCATTAAGACTGGTAAAGCCAAACAATGTTCTTCTATGAATAAATCTAATGTTTGTGTATATTAAAAGGGAATATTGTTGTAATTTTAAGATATAAAAACATGGAAATATCAAAAATTCATTCCTGATCAGAAAAGATTTTAAGCTTAAATGTGAATCAGCATACCACTCTGTAAAATAGAGGCTCACTTAAATAACATATAAATTCCCTTTAAGATTGTATTTAATCATCTGGGCAAACAAGGATTCTTTATATCTTGATGTAAATCTAGTTTGAAATATTTACCCTGCAAACCTCTCTATTCAAACTTCTAAAGGAGAAAGATTAAACACATTTCTTATATTTTTACCCTCAAGAGATTCAAATATATTTTTTATTATTCTTTTCATTGCTGAGTTATGGGTTTAAGGAAAAATGAAGAAATGAATGCTTATGATAAATTTTGGTTTTATATCTTGTACATTGTTCCATTTCAGTTTAGAGAAAATTATCCAAACCTTTAGTTCAAAAAATGAAAACCTTCACTTGATTGAGTTAAAAAGTTTCAAACTCAATTATTTAAGTTTCTCAAACGAATGATTACTTTAACTTTTCTCTTTTCTTTCCAGTATTTTCAAATAAAATAAAACAAAATTTAAAATGCCCAAACAGTGAACAATGAACAAATTAAATTGAAAATCGAAACCTTTACATTTCACAAAAGAGAAGGTTGTACAAGCTAGCTGAACAAGTTCTTCATTAGAAAATAAATTAAGACAGTTTGGTTGTTAAAATACGCTTAAAATAATCTCCTTTAATGCTGGAAAATTCAAACTTTTTCTATCCTTCATTTTCTCAAAAGATTCATTCAAATTGTTGGGAATGCAAAATTCTAATCTTATCAGGGAAGGTTTATGCTCGGTAAGAATCTAAAAATATTGTAGTGTTTTGTATTTTTTTCACCTGTGTCTCAGTGGTACAGATTCAGTCCAAACATCATCAAGCACGCTATATCTACAAGTATGGAACAATAAAAAGACTAATCCTAATCCAGGTCAGTATATATATATATATATATATAAATGTGTTCATGTTGTTAAATCCATCAGTGGTTTGCAAATCAGCTTATTATATTTTCTATATAATTATGTCTTCTATTTCATTCACAGTTTTAGGGGTCCTACTTTAGATATATAATATATATTACAATTTAGTCTGTGGTGTGCTTAAATATTTAAGATTACTCACGTCTCAACTGATTTGGTTGGGATTTGTCCAGGGTAATTAGGATCCTCATTACTAGACCAACCTCCACCTACCACTATACTTCCTCTACATTTTAATA